GATATGGTGGCTCACGCCTCTACAAACCTAGCATTTTGGGGGGTTGAGGTGGGCACACTGCTTAAGCCCAGCCTGGGCAACATGAGAAAATCCCAACTTGACAAAAACAAAACCTAGCCAGGCGCGCTGGTGCGTGCCTACAGTCCCAGATACTTGGCAGGCTGAGGTAGAAAGACGACTTGAGCCAAAGGGCTCTACCAAGTGGCTTCCCCATCTCTCTCCCTCTCCTTGGGCCTCCCTATTCCTTGTGACAACAATATTGAAATTAGGCCAGTTAATAATCTTACAGTGGCTCTAAGTGTTCAAGGACAAGAAAGAGTCACATATCTCTCACTTTAAATTGAAAGATTAAGTTTAGTGAAGAAGACATTTTCAAGGCCGGATTAGATGGCTCATGCCTGCAATCCCAGCACTTTGGGAGGCTTAGGCAGGTGTATCACCTGAGTTCAGGAGTTCAAGACAAGCCTGGCCAACATGGTGAAACCTCATCCCTACTAAAAATACAAAAATTAGCAAGGCGTGGTGACAGGCGCCTGTAATCCCAGCTACTCGGCAGGCTAAAGCAGAATTGCTTGAACCGGGAGGCGGAGGTTGCGGTGAGCCAAGACGGTATCATTGTACTCCAGCCTGGGTAACAAGAACGAAACTCCGTCTCAAAAAAGAAAAGAGCTTAACAAGGAAAATATAATTCTGCTAGCCCAAGGACAGACCTACAACAGGCAACAGCATAGCACATTATGCATTATTTTAACACAGGCATATATTGGAGTGAATGTTTCACAAGTTTTTAACTGATGAAGTTACTCAACAACAACAAAAAACCTTGGAGGATTAGACAATAAAGAGATGAAGAAGATTTGGGAGCAGCAAATATAATTAGAGCCATAATTCTTAAAGATTAATTTGACTACAGTACATTAGAAGATGAATTTAAAGTGGAAACAAATTTAGAGGTTACTCTCTAATATTCAGTCAACTTAGATTTCGTTAGCAGTAATAAGAACCGACATTATTTCAGATATATTACAAACAAAACAGACAAGTCTTTTACAACATTATTATTTGCAAGCAAGGGAGAATGAACAACAAAGTTCGCTTCATGATTTCTTCAAGCTTAGGCTAGGAAGAGGATACCATTAATAGAAAAGGCTAATACTGGAGATAAAACAGATTTGTAAGGGAAGTTCAAGAGAGAAATTTTACATACACTGATACAAACGGAGAGGCAATGAGGGAAAAAAAAAAAAGCAAAAGAACTTCTATGCCTTCTCATTTACAATTATACCCTCCCTTTAACTTGACTGTGAAAACACTGCTTGCATATATGACGTGTAACATTTTTAAAACAGCTTTGAAATATAATTGACATATTGTAAAATTCATCCATTTAAAGTATAAAACTGTGGTTTTAGTATTTTCACTGTATTGTACAAAACAGTCACAATTTTAGAACATTTTCCTTATCCCAATTTGTTTAAATCTCTCCATTTAACCCTGTGAAAGAGGCTGTTTCCTCATCTGTATAATGGTAATATCACCTCCCCCACAAGACATGAGAGTTAAATAATATATGAAAAATATATTAAAAAAAAAAAAAAAAAAAAAGCCCTCCTAGGAATGCCTGAATGTATAGGAGGTACATCAACAAAAAAATCTCAAAACTTTATAAATTAGATTTAACACTACAGGGGAAAAGTACGTTTCTAAAGATTTTTAATATCAAAATGATAAAAGTTATGTTTAATGAAGATATGAAAATGCTAGAGAGGAAAAGACAATTTTGAAAAAGAAAGAGATATTGAGGTGGGAAGATGCCTTGAGCCTGGGAAGTTGAAGCTACAGTGAGCTAAGATCACACCATTGTACTCCAGCCTGGGTGACAGAGTGGGACCCCTTCTCAAAGAAAGAAAACAAACAAACAAACAAAAAAACAGAAAAGAAAGAAAAAGCTAGAGGGCTAACTGAAGTCATTAAAATTTGAAGCCATGAAAAGCCCCACTCAGGTACCCCTTTCTCTCACAGGAGAGAGAGAGCTGATCTTTTTCTCTTTCTGTTACCTATTAATTAAAATATTGGTCTTAACCTTGCTGACGCCTATAATCCCAGCACTTTGGGAGACCAAGGCGGGTGGATCACAAGCTCAGGAGTTCAAGACCATCCTGGCTAACACGGTGAAACCCCATCTCTACTAAAAATACAAAAACTTAATCAGGCATGGTGGCACGAGCCTGTAGTCCCAGTACTCAGTAGGCTGAGGCAGGAGAATTGCTTGAACCTGGGAGGCAGAGGTTGCAGTGAGCCAAGATTGCACCACTGCACTCTAGCCTGGGCAACAGAATAAGGCTCTGTGTCAAAAAAAAAAAAAAAAAAAAAAAAAAGACACGTTAATGGTAAGGCTAGCTCAATGAGAAAAAGGTAATATTACAGAGACAGAGAAGCTGAGGTAACAAGACAGTTTTGACAGAAAAAAGTTAGAAGGGCACAGAAATGCCACTTGAGCATAAAACGAAAATGTTTACTAGGTAACTGTGAAAAATGTTAAGAGCAATGGTTTTCAACCCTAGATCCTTTTCAACCTATACACTTTTAAAAAACAGAGATGCCCGGTCAGGTGCGGTGGCTCACGCCTGTAATCCCAGCACTTTAGGAGGCCGAGACAGGTGGATCACCTAAGGTCAGGAGTTCAAGATCAGCCTGACCAACATGGTGAAACCCCATCTCTACAAAAATACAAAAAAATTAGCCAGGCATAATGTTGTGCACCTGTAATCCCAGCTACTCGGTAGGCTGAGGCAGAAGAATTGCTTAAACCTGGGGCGGGGGAGAGGGGAGGAGAAAAAAAGAGACGCCCATTTCTACTTCCCAAATTTTGTGTTATTACTTGTTAGCCACTAGATTTCATAAGGAACTACGGCTATAGCCTTTGGTTTTCCAAATTCCAGATGTTTTGTGGGAGTGGTGTTGAGTGAACTAACGTTTTACACTGGTATGTCTCTTCTCACACAGACTTCACAAACATGGCTCTCAAAACAATAGTGTCTGAGTTTCTGACTCCAATTTTAATAATAACTGTATATACACTTACACTGAAAAAGCTGTGTAAGTTGAACAAGCATGTCACAGATAATGAGTTTTAGAGATTTACCTTGATTTGATCAAGGGTCTCAGTCACAGATATGAGAGGGGTACAACGTACATTCATACTTTTCATTCATAACTTACCAAAGTGATAATAACTTTACATTTACTTGTGTGATTGTTTGACTCATGTTAACCTTATCCTTTAGAATACAGGGGGACGATATCTTATTTCATATACCATACCACTATCAAGCACATAGTAAATGCTTAAATAATACTTAAATGAAAGAATGAAATAGACTCTATCCCAGATCTCCAGAATCTACATAACTAGGTATTGGACCCTGTGTATCAGGGAATATAAACTGAAAAGAGAATTATGCTGAAAATGAAATAGTGAGCATCATCCTCATAAAGCTAGAAACTACATTCAAGAAAACAAGAGTAGGCGGGCATAGTAGCTCATGTTGTAATCTCAGCACTGTGGGAGGCCGAGGCAGGCAGATCACCTCAGTTCATGAGTTCAGGACCAGCCTGACCAACATGGTGAAACCCTGTCTCTACTAAAAATACAAAAATTAGCCGGGTGTGGTGGCACGTGCCTGTAATCCCAGCTACTCAGTAGGCTGAGGCAGGAGGACTGCCTGAACCCGGGAGGCGGAGGTTACAGTGAGCCAAGATAGTGCCACTGCACTCCAGCCTGCTTAACAAAGTAAGACCCTGTCTCAAAATAAAAGAACAACAGTACTTATCCATTTAAGCGGAACAACAAAGAAACATCTATGGCAATAACAGATACCAAAAGTACTGTTGATGAAATAAATGTTACAAGACAATTGAAAATAAAAGTGATGTTTTCTAAGAGATAATACTTAGTGTGATACTCAACCTATGGTAACATTTTATTAATTTAGACAGGCCTCTAGATCGGTTAAGTAGCCTGTGAATGAAATTATCCTACCATGGTAGATAAAGGTAAGACTTTATTATGTTTTGCATAGCATTAATTCTCATAATAACTGTCTTTCTCCACTTCATTGATTAGGAAATTAAATCACAGGGCTTCAGTATAATTCTAGTCACAAAGCAAGAAAGCGATCTAAGATGTATGAAATTTTTATATCATTAAATTATGAAATATTTTCTGAAAGCCAATCAAAAATTCCATTTATGACACCATATAATTCTCCCTGACAGAAACTACCAATTTAGCTACAACAAGCCAGCCATAAAACTTTCAAAAGCAAAAATTTTGAGTTTCCTGAAAATCAGTTTTAAAAAAAAGTGATAACTTTTAAAGAAAGTGAAATTCACTAAAGAATTTCTCTATTCTTTCAGGATATCTTCCCCTTACGATCCTAAAACAAATACAAACTACTAGAAATACTAGAAATATTTATCATTAATTGAGTTAAATCATTAAGACACTTTTACCTATAAGAAAAATCGTGTTAGTTTATATTGCATGTATAAAGTATTTTACACAAAGGAATCACTTGGATTTAATTCATTATTCAAGTATCACTCAAAGAACCTCCAAAGATACAAATTTCCTTAGGAGTGCCTTATAAACAAGGTATTTCAAAACAAGAAGACAGTAAAAATGAAAGGAATTAGAGAATCAGCTTCACTTTTATTTTTAAGAGACTGTGTCTTACCATGTTGCCCAGGCTGGACTCAAACTTGCGGGCTCAAGCGATTCTCCCACCTTAGCCTCTGGAACTTCACGCATGGGCCTACTTTGTTTTATTGTTTGTTTTGAAAGTCATCTTTAATTTCCCTCACAACTGTTTCCTAACACAGTAAGTTAATAAATATTAGTGTTTACATTTACTTCCATAAAATGTATTAGATCTTGTAATTAGCAGATACTTAGTAATGACAAGGCTAACAATTCCTCTGTCCTAATTATTCCTAAAACATGCAAATTCATCATATTCTAAGTAAAAATCCAAAAGATCACTTAGTATAGACTTACCCAGGTTTCCTTGCTCGATTGTCAGCACCACCTCATCCATCACCACAGCCCTAAAGTCCAGTTCCTCCTCACAACATTTGGCCTTCAATGCTCGTAAAATCTCTTTTTGAGGATAGTCTTCCCTGATGCGACGATCTGTCAAAAACCACAACTTGGCAGCCACGGAGCTACACATCTTGATCAGCTTGTGCTTCCTTGCCTGGATTATTTCCTCTTAGATGTAACGTCTATCTAGATGGAAAAGAAAATATACATACAAGGTAAATCAAGAAATCTACTCGATTTCTGGATTTCATACAAGTAAATGCCGTGATTATAAACTAATTACACAAACAGGAAAAAACAAGTGGAGAGACACTATTTCTTTTTCCCTTTTATTCAAACTAAAATGTTTATACACTAGTAATATGGAAACTGACCACCTCTTCAGAAATAGGATTTCTCTATTTTTCCTTGGGGAAGCTACCTCTGCAACTTAATAATTATAGCTGGTCACTTAGCACAAACTTTAAATACCATTCCCAATATTACATATTATCTAGGAATGCAGTTTAATCTAACCACTGACTTTTTGTTTTATCTCCTCCCTCAACATTCTGTTCTTGATATAAAATGGAATTCCAATCATCAATATATCTCCATCTTTCCAATCATTAGAAATCCCACGTAAGTACATTTTTGTATCTGTGGTTAACTTTATATTCAATTTTCTTCCCTGGTTTTGTTATAGGTATGCAGAAAAAAAAAAAATAGGTAGTAGCACTTATCTTACTAGGTAAGCTTCAATGATGAGGTCATTTACATAGTAGCTTCAGCCAAAATAAATAATTGGAGAATGAGCAAAAGAGCTCTAAATAACCAAAATAAATGTTCAGGTCCATTCACAAATTTCATTTATTTCAATCAGAGGACAGCATGCTCTTACTCAATGTTTTTATTCTTTCTATAAATAGAATTTTTAAAAATAAACGCAGTTGTTTACTAAAATGCATAAAGGGACTGTTTTTTCAGGCAGTGTTGCTTCTGAGTTTGTATCATGAGCAATGTAACATTAAAAATCATCTTCCTGAGAAGCAGAAAAGTTACAAGTTTCAGAACAAGCAACAAAAAGACTTTTTTAAGTGTTTACAAAAAAACAAAATGTCAACTATCATTGAAGTATAATTCCAGATAATACTGCACAACTAACACGAAAAAAAAGTCCAGGGCAACGAGTGCAGGAAGAAAAGGCCATACAGCAGATTCCTGTAAGAGGCAGCTGGACATGGTCCACCCTTCCAGGTACCAGCAAGAAGGGCCTGCTCCACAGTGCACACGGTTTAAAAGTAGAGTACTGCTGGGCAGGGCACCACCAGATCCAATGGCACACATTCCCAAGCACTTTGAAATACCAAGTCTGCCACACCTACTTCTCTTTTAACCCACCTACCGCCCCATAATCTATTGCCTCGAAGGCATAAGTCTCTGTTAAGCAGGATATCTAAACGGGTTATGACAGTAACTGAGCTTACTTACATGCTAGGAAGGAACTATACTAACTTAATGTCAGATGCTCCAGGGTTAGCAGTTCTGAATATTTAATAATTTTCTATTTTTAATTATTTTTTGAGATGGAGTTTCACTCTTGTTGCCCAGGCTGTGGATATGGTATTAACTCACCTTACACATAGGAAGGAACTATGCTAACTTAATGTCAAATGCTCCAGGGTTAGCAGTTCTGAATATTTAATAATTATTTATTTATTTATTTGAGATGGAGTTTCACTTGTGTAGCCCAGGCTGGAGGGTAATGGCATGATCTCAGCTCACTGGAACCCCTGCTTCCAGCGATTTTCCTGCCTCAGCCTCCCAAGTAGCATGTGCCACAATGCCCAGCTAATTTTGCATTTTTTTTTTTTTTTAGCAGAGACAGGGTTTTGCTATGTTGGCCAGACTGGTCTTGAACTCTGACCTTAGGTGATCTGCCCACCTCAGCCTCCCAATGTGCTGGGATTACATGTGTGAGCCACCACACTTGGCCATATTTAATGATTTTTAAAAATACACGTTTTATTCTTTCAAATATGTTTATTCTTTTAAATACCATATTCCCTCCAATTTTGGTCAATTTGTAAATTATAAAGTATAATATTTGTGCTAAAGTTTGTAATATTTAAATGTTATTAGGCCAGGCAAGTGGCTCACATCTCTAATACCAGCACTTTGGAAGGCAGAAGTGGGAGGACAGATAGAGCCTAAGTGTCTGAGACCAGCCTGAGCAACATGGCGAGACCCCGTCTCTATGAAAAATTAAAAAATTAGTCAGATGTGGTGGCATGTGCCTGTGGTCCCAGCTACACAGGAGGCTAAGGTGAGACTACTGGAGCGCAGGAGGCTGAGACTGCAGTGAGTTATATTAGTGTCACTGCACTCCAGCCTATGACAGACCAAGATCCCATCTCAAAATAAATAAACAAACTTATTTATTAGAAGATAAGGCCAGGCATGGTGGCTCACGCCTATACCTGTAGTCTCTACTAAAAAAGAAAATAAAAAAATTAGTCGGGCGTGGTGGCAGGCATCTGTAATCCCAGCTACTAGGGAGGCTGAGTCAAGAGAATTGCTTGAACCCAGGAGGTGGAGGTTGCAGTGAGCTGAGATCATGCCATTGCACTCCAGCCTGGGCAACAAGAGTGAAACTCCATTTCAAAAGAAAAGAAAAAAAGAAATGAAGACAAGGACCAGGCCCATTAAAATGAAAAATAGATAAACACTATGGCTTCCCTACAACAGGATATTTCACGCATATTACAGGCAATAAGCCTTATCCACCCTCCTCCTTGAACAGAATGTTTCTGCTACACTTCTATGAAACTTTTCTTGAAAAGAGATTTCCATTTTAACAGCAGTATGGGAAAGGTACAGAGTAAACCTGCACTATCATTTCAACCTGATAGGACAACTTTTTATTATGGGTTGCACTTCAGTCTCTTCCCTGTGGACAATCACAGGGAAGGCCACAGTGTGTCCCTGACCAGACACTGTATCCAAAGAGATAACTATGCTCATTAGGAAGAGAGGTTATACCCACACAGGGCCTTCCAGGGCACTTGGGAAGGTCTCACGCAGAAAGTAAAACTCCACAAAAGAAAAAGTTACACCAGAAAGTCTGACATAGAATATCCTCAGCTTCCCTTGACAAAGGAACTGTAAAAATGCCCTAAAAATGTCTGTAATCAGTAGTTATTAAAAGACTCTATCACTGACCTCCAATACTCTGAAGCTATGTCCATGCCTTGGCCTGACATCTAACTCTTGAAACTCGTCCGTTGGCAGACTTTTTTTCTTTTTTTTTTTTCCCCCTGAAACAAGGTCTCACTCAGTCGCCTAGGCTGGAGTGCCGTGATGCAATCATAGCTCACTGCAGCCTCAAACTCCTCGGCTTAAGTGATACACCTGTCTCCTCTGCCTCCCAAGCAGCTGAGACAGCAGAAGCAAATCATATCAGGCTAATTTTTTTTTTTTTTTCTTGAGAGGGAGTCTCCCTCTGTCATCCAGGCTGGAGTACAGTGGGGCAATATTGGCCCACTACAACTTCTATCTTCCAAGTTCAAGAGATTCTCCTGCCTCAGCCTCCTGAGTAGGGATTACAAGTGTCTACCACCACCTGGCTAATTTTTGTATTTTCAGTAGGTATGGAGTTTCGACGTGTTGCCCAAAGTGATTGGAGTTTTACTGGTGTGAGCCAACAGGCCTGACCTCTAATTATTTATTTATTTTGGGGGGTAAAGATATGGTCTCACTATGTTACCCAGACTGATCTCAAACTCTTGGCCTCAACCAATCCTCCCACTTTGGTCTCCCAAAGTGCTGGGTTATGGTTGTGAGCCACCATGCCCTGCCAATTGATGATTAATTTCACCACACTGTAGGATTTCACCTGAGTGTGGCAGCTGCTGCCCCAATAGCAGACAAAATGGAATGTTATAGTCACTAGCAACTGGAAAGTAGAAACATTCTGCTGCTGCTGATATATGAGTAGTCAGAAATTACATGGGCTACAACAGTGTTTCCAATGATTCTGAACTCAGAAAATAGTAATATTTCCCTCTGAAGAGCCACAAAGCTTTCAGTCAACATGTTTTTCTAGGCCAGGCATGGTGGCTCCTACCTGTAATCCCAGAACTTTGGGAGGCCCAGGTGGGCGGATCACTTGAGGTCGGGAGTTTGAGACCAGCCTGGCCAACATGGCGAAACCCCATCTCCACCAAAAATAAAAAATCAGTCAGGCATGGTGGTGCATGCCTGTAATCCCAGCTACTAAGGAGGCAGAGACAGGATAACTGCTTGAACCCAGGAGGTGGAGGTTGCAGTGAGTGGAGATCGCGCCACTGCACTCGAGCCTGGGTGATAGAGTGAAACTCCATCTCAAAAATAAACAAACAAACTGGCAGGGAGCCTCACTTTGGGAGGCTGAGGTAGGCAGATCACTTGAGGTCAGGAGTTCAAGACAAGCCTAGCTAACATGGTTAAGATCCCGTCTCTACTAAAAATACAAAAAAACAAACAAACAAAAAAACTAGCCAAGCATGGTGGTGCATGCTTGTAATCCCAACTACTCAGAGGCTGAGACAGGAGAATTGCTTGAATCCAGGAGGTCAAGGCTGCAGTGAGCCCAGATTATGCCACTGTATTCCAGCCGAGGAAACAGAGCAAGACTCCAACTCAAAACAAAACAAACAAAAGAACACATTTTTCTACATTAAGCCTCTGATTACCAGGTATAGTAATCCCTCCTTATCCACAGGGGGTAATTCCAAGACCCCCAGTGGATGCCTGAAACTGCACCATACACACACACACACACACACACGCACACGCACACGCACACACACACACACACAGTTTCTTCCTAAACATACATACCTTTGATAATGTGTACATTACACACAGTAAGGGATTAAAAATAAAACAATTATAACAATATACTATGATAAAAGTTATATGAATGTGGTGTCTATCCCATTCTCTCAAAATACCCTATTGTACTGTGTCGGTGGTAACTGAAACCACAGAAAGTGAAAGTAGGGAAAGTGAAACCTGTCCAGTGGCACACTCCCATTCCCACAGGAGGACATGTGGCTGGACTTCCTCGGTGCCCACGCAATGGAGCCTCCCCAAGGGCTGCTGCAGCAATAGCTGCTCGCCTTCTTAGGGCTGCTCCAACTGGATTCACATCTGAGATGCCAGAA